CAAAGTAGTAACTTTTTTTTAGTTAGTTTTTTATTTTTATTTAAATTTGTGTTAGTATTTTAATAATTTGCGTAGACAAAAGAATCATATAACCAAAGTAACGGTAGATACAATTAGTAAAACGAAGTAGTAACATTATTTAAAATCTTTTCTTGTGTTCACATGTGATGACAAGAAAACTAATACTAGCTAATATGATTTCGTTATTTAAAGTTTATTATTATTATTATTATTATTAATGTTATTATTAGTCATAGTAGTAGTAGTAGTATACAGTATAGTAATACATATTTGATGTAGTGGGTGGTCCAAATTTGCATTACAAAAATAGCCTGCAAATATTTGAAAACCTTTATTTCTCAAATACATTTACGTTGATTTCTATTCCACAAGCGTCTCCTGTTGGAAGTTCTGCTTCTAATCCATTTAAAGCCCATTGCATGAGCGTTTGGGCTCCAGGTGGGGTTAACACAGGTGTCTGGGCTAAAGCCGCCACTGGCCTCAAGCCACCCGAACCTGAAAGAGCAGCTTTGTGTGAGTAACACAAGCCCCCTGTGTCCCTTCACACCACGCCCAGCTTGACCAGGTTACGCTCCGCGATCAAATGAAAGAGTTCAAGCAGGTAAGTTTCAATTAAATTTTTTAATATTTACATCTTCTGTTATGAATATTATTCCATATTTTAATTTGAATGTCGGATTGAAATAAACATCGCCTTTAGCGTAGTTATTCATTCGCATAAGCCGCGTGATTTTTGTACATTTTATTTTTGTTTGACTTTATTAATAAAAATTTATGTGTTTTTTAATTAGCATGTTTTTGGTTTTCAGATTTTCACTGGTATTGGTACCGAATACAGAAATGTTGGTTCCGTGACAACACTATATTATTATTGTTGTTATTATTATTATTATATTTATAATATTTATATTTATAATTCATTTTAATGTTAGAGTAATAAAATTGTTGAAATGTAGTATTAATAATAATAATAATGTTATACCATTAATTCCCATATCAGTATGATTCATGAGCATCAATAAATCTTACCCTACAACGATAGTTGATTATTTTTTATATTGCATCCAATAATGAATATGATGAGTGATTGTATATTATAGCCTTGTTATTATACAATTGTGTGTGTTATATATATATATATATATATATATATTTGTATTAATGTTATAGAGAATTTAGTTATACATTTGTTTAAATGTAGTATTATTATTATTATTATATAATTTAATATTTATAATACATTTTATTGTTAACGTGATAAAATGTATTTAAAAAATATAAAATATATAAATTGTTGAAATGTATTATTGTTGTTGTTAGTATTATTATTATTATTGATATCAGGTTTTTGTGGTATGTTTTTAAACAAAAAATATACATATTATATATACAAAATTATAAATGATTGTATAATATATCAATCAGTATATCAGTGATCAGCTGTAATGTAAAAAATAAATGATTATCTATGGAAAACATTTGTGCCCATCCCTTCCAAGAATCATTGCTGCTATGAGTTCATTGTGTACTAGACTATATACATTATAGCTTTGATGAATCATTAAGCAAAGAGCCAAATTGAAGGTTTCCAAATCCATTTCTGTACCTGTCAATCCAGAAATAGACTCTCAGACAGGTCTGCTAGCAACATAATTGGTTCTGGTGTCAGGGCCGAAGCCTGTTTCTATTTCCGCTCTATCCATTCAATTATATTTTTCGTTGTTGTGCTAAAAAAAGCACCCCCTTTTTTCATGGAACATATTCTTCTTTTTTTTAACAGCATGACCAGAGCGGCAGACTGGCATTTACCACAGCAGGAAGTGCCTTTTTTACACTGCGCCGAGGGCATGACCTTTCGTCCAGCAGCCTGGTCGCCATTCATCTCCTTAACCTTCTCCTTTGTGTGCGTCTAAGAGCCGAGACCAGCGAAAATGGCTTATGCAATAAATGTGCAAAGGCAGAAGCTTAATGCTGACACGCAGAGCCTCAGTCAGATCAGTGCACTTCTCTCAAGGCCGTCGTGTTTCATTGCAGTGCTGCATTCTGCTGAAAGATGCTATTATCTTGCTAATGGGCAGTAAGATTGAGCCGAGTCTGCACTCAGGCATTTATTAGCAGTGTCTGTTTTTATCTCGCTAAAAGCCTTTCTGCCAGGCTAACATGAACCAGCGCTGAGTGTTATCACCCAGGTCAGGTGGAGGTCTGTTTTAAACTAATCGGGCCATAGGTTTGAAGGCTTGATGATTCAGAATAGACATTCCAGGGGTTTGCTGTTGTCAACATGGTCCTTTGGTCTGCAATTATAATAAGAGGTTGAGGAACCATATGGGAAAGAGTTGGCTGGGGTATATCATTGATGGTGACACTTTTGGTGGGGGTTCAGTCTCTCATTCTCTGGCGCCACCAGCAGTACAAAATTTTCATCTCGCAGCACTTTCACATTTAGTGTGGAGATCCCTGCAGTGTGGAACCACTTCCTGCTGGAGGCTTGCAGCATCACACCTAATTAGTACATGGTGTTACGCCTGACTAGATTTTTTGTCTCTGTGGATTTTGTTGAAAATTTCACTTGTCCTCCTACATATTTTGGCTAAAAATTGGATTTTACAATCTTCAGATCGAACTGAACATATATCAAAGGTGTTTTTGCCATAATAAAGCATAAAAATACCATATGTTTGTAGATATTCTAGTATTTGCAGATACTAGAACATGCAAGTTCACATACTTGTTTCTTCGAAAAACAATGCTGCTGTCAGTTATTCGACTTTGAAATGTGAGTTCCGTCTCAGAATGTCTGTTTTTTCTTTTTCTTTTTTCGTTTCCACCCTCTGCGAGTTTACCCAGTAGTATTTTGACACCCCCGGGTTGCTAGTTAACAGAAAACACCGTATTGCAAACATGGAAGCTAGCAAACGAACGGAGTCAAAGTTTGCAGATTCTACCCAACCTAAAAAGCCTTGGCATCCATCAACACAACGCTATGACCATATGCATATTAAAACACGGATAAATAATCTCATCAAGGCTTGATGGCTTCCAATGTCATTTGTGCTTGTTACTGTTGCGTGTCCTCAATCTGGCAACCCGCATGAGCATCAAGTCTGAGGAGGAAAGGGCGAAAGAAACAACTCTCGATATTTTGAATGTGGACTGCAGTACCTGTTTCATCCACTAGCTGTCAATATTACATACTACACTTTTAAATGGACTTCTGTTAATCTACTATTAAAGTAATCAACCATCTTCCAGAAACACAGGAAGTTATTCTATCAGTGTTGGGAAGGTTGCTTTGGAAATGTAATAGGTTATCAATTACAGGTTACAGCTAGGGATGGAATCGAATCGTGAGTTGAGTGAATCGTTACATCCCTAGTTACAGCTGTAGCTATTTAATTTAGTTTATTAAAGTAATGTAACCGATTACATGTGATTACCTTTTGATTGCTTTTCTAAATTTCTAACAAATGTTTTTAAATGTTTTAAATTTAAACCATGCCGGGTTAACCGTACAGTAGGACTCAACACTAATTGCTCTCAAGGCTTTCAAAATCCTTATCACTTGAATTAAGATTCTAATAATTACATTTTAAAGCACAGCACTGAAACGCACTTTTAAAGCGCTGGTCATTAGAAACTAAAGGGTCTGTTTTTATTTCTGTACACTCACATTAACAACAAAAACTATATGCTTTTATAAAATAAAGAAAGGCTAGGTTACATACCTGCAGATGCTTCCTCAGGTTCGACATTGAAGCCTTTGATGTTGAAAGCATTTTAACAGCTGGCAAACAAATTTTGCAATGAACTGCTATATTTGCGCCCTTACCGGATTTCAGGATGAAATTATTTTTACATTTCCAGCACTGAAATGCATTTTTATCACTCGCCATGGTGGCAACTCTCAGACAGGTTGAATCCTAAAGCTTTCAGTGACAATGTAGATTGATGTAATTGGCAGACGTGGTGCACTGCAAATTCAAACGAGAACCAATCAAAAGCATCAGAATAGCATCGCTTTACTAAGCGTCCTTTAAATGGCAGGAGGCACTGTGCACATCAAAAACGGGCAAAGTGACAAAATAATAGTATTCAACATATCCTAGCTTTTTTACAGAAAATATTCAGATGTAACCCCCTTTGTAATCATTAACATTTTCTGTAATTGTAATTACAAAACTGTAATTTAATTACACTTTTTTTTTTCTCTGTAACAGATTACAGTTACATTTATTTTGTAATTAAATTACGTGACTCAGTTACATGTAACTAGTTACATGTAACTTAACACTGGATTCTAGATAATAATGATATATAATGATAATAATGATATTCAGTATTCATGCATTAGCTCCAAATTGTCTTGATAATGTTTAACAACCGTCATAATTAAATAATAAATTAATTAATTGAAGTTGCCAGTTTGAACTGATTCATGGCAATGAAGAAATATACCAAACAAACCAACTTTAATTTTTGCTACTGAAGTTTAAATTGGACTCTTAACATCATCAATAATATTCTTATACTTGCAATTCATTAAACGAGGAAGGAACATTGAAGGATCGAGTCTTTAGGAAACTTGATTGCTAAATGTAAAACATGCAAAATCTCCCACAATTTTATACAAGGACTAAAATCATGGTGTATACATGGTGAGTAATCCATATGGTGGCCAAACCTAACTGTATCTTGATACTGCTTTGGTGTATCAAAATTACAATGAGTTTGTGAACACACCCTAAGAATTTTAGAGCCCCCTGTTGGCCAAAAAATGTAAATATTGGTAGAATATTTACTTATTCTATGGTTTTATTATTATACTGTGTTTAAATGAATGTTTCTGCCATTATTAGCTTAACCCTGTAATTGTTTTTGTTTTGCTGTTGATCATCCAACTGTTTTTTCCCCCTCATTGTATGGGTGTAAATTCCTCTTATCACCTATATAATGACACTTTCTTTCTTTCTCTTTTACAGTGATCTTGTTTTGCATGGCCGCCCTCATATTCCCAATAGGATTCTACATCAATGAAGTAGGGGGACAACCGTACAAATTACCCAACAACACAGTGGTGGGCTCCTCTTATGTACTGTTCGTGCTCTCCATTTTCTTCACAATAGTGGGGCTCCTGTTTGCGGGAAAAGTCTGCCTTCCTGGCTGAGGGGACGTTCCCAGCGGGGACAGCTGGGGTGTTCAAAGTGAAACGGAAAGAAGCGGCACTCATCGAGAAGGACCAACGACAGGGGGTGGTGGTATATACTAATAACTCATTAAACTGCAAAACTAAACAGACGAATACTGCACACACTACATTCGAGTGCTCCCCTCTGCCCAACCTGTGCTTCGTTAAACCCGTGCTGTCTTTAAGTTGCACCTTTGAGTTTCAACCCAAAGGATCGGGGGGCGTTGAAGGACACGCAGGCCCGTCCGGAAAGGACAGAGTGCATCCACAGCGGCTGCTTCTAGTACTACCTTACTTTGGAATATAGTTCTGTTATCTTCTGTTCAGTTACGTTTTGCAGAGTTTCACACAATTGCGCCCTCTACCTTCATGGAGAGGAAAGACAAGAAACTGGTGGAGAATGCGGGCACTGATATAATGGACCAGGCACTCGATCCAACAACTGTTCTCTCTAGCGGCCAGAGAGCTGGACGGGACACTGCACTGTTACAAAAAGAGGGAAAAGGAAAAAGGGAACAGTATTAAGAAAATTTTTGTTCTCGCACACTACATGAGGCGAATGCTCCAGGACTGCAGGTCAGGACCCTGCAAGGCTGTGCCTCGCTGTTACACGCTCAGATATTGACGGACGCGTCTCTGAATCTGACATCATACCAAAATAAACACCCGCCTGAGCTCAACTTGAGTTGAGTTCGGTTCAGTCACAGGCGGATGTGTTTGTGCTTTTGACTTTACACCTGCTCATCTCTTCTTGTTTTGATCTCTGGGTTTGCAGAGCCCTTTACTTGTTTGGTTTGATTTGCTAATGTGCCATAAACCTGTTTTTTTGTATGAATGCGATGGGCATGAGTTGGGTTTTAGGGAGCACTGTGCGGTATAGCCATTTCAGTAGGTGAAGCACTACAGATGTACAAAAATGAACTCCTTACCTCAGTATTTTGCGATTCAGAATGATTTTTCCCTCATCATGGCAAAATATGTGCCCTGTAACTTATGTTCTGCCTTGATCACGGACCTTTAATTCAAATGGTGTGATCATGGCAAATTATTTATCTGACACTGAATAAAAGGAGCTCAAGAATGCGTGTTACATCAGCTCTGTTTTTAAAGGGTTCCCTGTTTTTTTGGAAAGCAAATGTACATTGTGAGAGTGGAACAAAACCAGAAGTGTTTATGATGGATGTGTGTGATATGAAGGTTAAATTTTGCCCACAAGCTGTTGTTGTTTTTTTTCATGAATCTTCTCTAAGTGTGTGTTCTGTTTTATTTGAATGTGCTTTTTTTTTTGTTCACTCTGTTTAAGAAAGGTCATGCTCACAGTCGCCTTTACATTCTTTACTAAATTAATTTCATTAATGCTTTGAAAAACTGCACTTTTCCTTGGAAGCGTTCATATTCATTATAGGGATGGCGAACAGATAAAATATATTTATTCAAATTTTAGATGATTCTCGTAAATATGTGGGGTAAGAACATACACTCTTAGATTGAAGAATTGATAAAAAATGTTTATACGAAATTCCCTCCTGCATTCAGGCAAGATGTGTACAATTGCTTTTGGCAAAAGATGTCTCTTCGTATCGCACTGGGACCTAAATTTAATGTGAACTGTGAGAACGACGGCAGCCTGCGGTGGACGAGTTCCGTGCTAAAGACTGCTTCTGCTTTGGATATTTTTGGAAACCCATCATAAAATGGGAGAGAAAAAAAAGTGCATAGGGTAATGAAAAGCTTTTATTTATGATTTCAAAAGGGAAGGAAACAAATGTATGAGGAACCGTATTATCTATCAAAGGATGTTGGCAGTCCTCGTGCACAGTTACTGTTAACAGATCCGTATTACTGGCAAGACAACTGTTTTCTCTGCTACTCTTTGTTTCAGTATCTCACTGTATACAATAAAAGGCATTAAAGAAGGTGAACCGCTGGAGTTCAACTGAGCTTTACTTCATTAGGAGTACGGTTGTAACGCTTGCTCTACATTCTATCCTAATGGTGAAAATACACCAAACTTTGCATGCATGGAGAGTCTGTGGCTAATTGAGTTTGAAGGAATTTTGGAAGCATGGGATGTATGGTTGCCTAGCAACTGCTAGTTAAATTTGCAATATTCAAAACATCAGGCCTGCTCCCCTGTTTGAGCTAGAGATGAATTCTCTCACTGCCTTTGCTCACGGAGCCTTTTTTTCAGTATTTGACATTTAAGTAAAACTAAAAATCCTGAGATTGCTGGTGTCATTTTTGGAGCCTTTAAAAGTTTAATTCAGGGACGTGTAATGTTAAAGGGTTCTGTAGCTTTTGCACTTTCAGGAACCGGTTTAGGAAACCTTAATAATGTAATGTAATATTTAATGCACTTCATGTTGTCAATAACAACGAATAGAGTATATTTTCTTTTTCTTTACATTTTTATATTGATATGGTACAAGATTATCCTATTTAAATCAACGTGATAAGTTAGGTCAAAAGTAATCGTCTGATTATATTACCTAAAATGTGTAAAGTAATGGAACTACAATTTTTGTCGTGTAATTTGGAATCAGTAACAGATTACAGTAATCTACCCAACACTGTGTTCTATAATAATTAAACTGAAAATAAACTGAGACGTTGAGAAAAAAATATATATGTAGATAGATAGATAGATAGATATTTTTAAAAAGACTAGAAAAAATCGTTTGATTTGTAAAATATGTAAAATTATTTATAAAAAAAGGTGTTTAGCCTATATCTTCTTCCTTGCAACATTTCTCCTTTTCTTTCTTTCGTTAACGTTACATTAAAATGTCATTGAAATGCATGAGCTGAAGACTACACAATAATTTACTAATAATAACAACAATAATAATATGTAATGCTTACAGTCAGTACTAAAAGCGCTTTAGCAAACAAATAGACTAGCAAACAATATCACGGTAATAATTTTTTTAAGGCTATAAATGCTCGCTTATGCTCACCCAGGCTGCATTTGTTCAGAAATACAGTAAAAATAGCAATATTGTTAAATGTTACTACATTTTAAAATAACTGTTTTCTATCTGAATATATTTTAAATTGTAGCTAATTGGTGAATTTTCAGCAGTGTCACATGATCCTTCAGAAATCAGTCTAAAATGCTGATTTGCTGCTTAAAGGGATAGTTCACCCAGAAATGAAAATTCTGTCATCATTTACTCACCCTCGTGTCGTTCCAAACCTGTATGAGTTGCTTTCTTATGTTGAACACAAAAGAAGATATTTTGAAGATTGCTGGTAATCAAACAGTTGGTGGTTGCCATTGACTTCCATAGTATTTTTTTTTTCCTGCTATGGAAGTCAATGGCAACCACCAACTGTTTGATTACCAGCAATCTTCAAAATATCTTCTTTTGTGTTCAACATAAGAAAGCAACTCATACAGGTTTGGAACGACATGAGGGTGAGTAAATGATGACAGAATTTTCATTTTTGGGTGAACTATCCCTTTAAGAAACATTTATTATTATTATCAATGTTGAAAACAGTGGTGCTGTTTAATATTTTTTTGTGAAAACCGGGATTATTTGCTAAATAGAAAGTTCAAAATAATTGATTTGAAGTAGAAATCTTTTGTAACATTACAAATGTCTTTTAATCAACTTAATTCCACCTTGCTTTATTTAAACCTAAATAAATATTTATTTTACCTTTAAAGTACTGAGATGCATTCATACGATGATTTCAGGCAAATGAAAACTTTTTCACTCTTGTGGAAATTACAACTGGGCTAACATGACTGTTTACGGTAATAAACGTCCTTTTTATGGGTCAGGTCAGGCATAAACCTTCAGGTAATAACAGTACATTTCACTTATAGTAGAAGAGTGATTGCAGTATGAAGAAAAAAATCAATCCTCCAAGATTGAATCATTGTTTATCACAATACACTGTTATCTCATAGCACTCTCCATATGGAGCAGAAGACAGGACCTGTCAAGTGGTGAAATTATACAACAGTTTCAGTCTTATGATTCTGTATTCATCTGTGCTAGATTATAAAGAGTCCTTTTTTTTCCGTTCATGTCTTATTTTAATGGTCTGTAGGCTGGAGAACAGTCCCAATGAGTCTGGCTTTATGAGTGATCAGTCCTCCATGGAAATCCCACCAGTCTTCAGAGAAAACGTAATGGTGACTTAATTGCCACCTGTTCACCTAAATGTATTCATGCAGTTATATAATAATAATATTATTACGTTTTTAAGGAATAGTTCATTCCTAAATGAAAATGTTCTAAACTGTTCTCATCTTCAGGGCAATCAATATGTTGTTGAGTTTCTTTTTTCAGTTGAACAGATTGGGAGAAATTTTAGCATTACATCACTTTAATGCTCACCAATGGATCCTCTGCAGTGAATGGGTGCCGTCAGAATGAGATATAAGATAAAAACATCACAATAATCCACACCACTCCAGTCCATCAGTTAATGTCTTGCGAAGTGGAAAGCTGCGTGTTTGTGAAACAAATCCATGATTTGGACACTCGTTCTGACGGCACCCATTCACTGCAGAGGATCCACTGGTGAGCAAGTGCTACATTTCTCCAAATCTGTTCTGATGAAGAAACTCATCTTGGATGACTGTTCCATTGTTGTATAAAATCAGCTGTTTTTGTTGCGATCACACTGCTGAGTAATCATTCATATTGAGCACGTGCAGAAGCGGATGGATCATGCTGATGCGTATGAGAGCTCAGAGCACTGGCTGGAGTCGAGAAGTCTGGAGAGCTTGTGGACTGTCTCTCTCTCTCACCTCCTGTCACTCTGCACCACCTGCTCCTGTGTAAGTTTACAGAATAATAGCCTCATTGCACCCTGTGCTGTTTGACTTAATCCCTGTCTACACTCGATGTGGCTCAATGCTCCCATTATAACTAACAAAGCTGTGAAAATGTGTAAATGGACTGATTACAGATTTGTTTGGCACAGATTTCGTCTTTAACAACAAACTCCCCTCACAATATATGTTCAGAACGTTGTTTCAAAGCACGTGAATTAGTTTGAGTCTTAGAAACCAGGTGGTGGATTAATAATCACCTGCTGTTCTAAAAAAAAAAAGGTATAAATGCAAGCTCAAAATTTTTATGAAGTTATAAACCATGCTGTGTGTGTGTGTGTGTGTGTGTGTGTGTCAGATCTGAGAGAGGAGACGGGATGAGCAAACAGATGCACATCAGCAGTGAGGAACAGCTTTACATGTGAGCATCATCTCCTCTACTGCACAGTCACCTTAATGATGCTTTATCGTTCTCAGTGCTGCTGTTTGTTTAGTTTTTAATAAAATAACCTAAAATGATTTTTTAAATCGAGATGTTTATGCAGTGCTATTGAGATGTACCATGATCAAATTAAGTGGCTCAGTCAAGGAAACTGGAAGGTAAATTGAATCTCTGAAATCTTCACTCCACGAATCTGGTTTAAGCAGATGTTTAAACAGAACTTTGCCGTCCTGTGTTGGTTTGGTTTGATCTGTCAGGTGTTTGGGTTGGTGAACGGGTCCCGCGTTGGAGTGCTTGTTGACACGTCTGATTTGACCTGCTCTACAGAGAGACCAGCAGATCTCTTAGCAGGATCCAAAATGAGTCATTGCTTCAACTGCATGCTTTGCTTTACTAATTGAATCAATTAAACTGCTCATTTTGTGGTTTCTTTTTACTTACACCATCAAAGACTCTCATTGACGAGCAACTGCGCTTCAAAAAACAGCTGCATCTTCTGTGCTTCGGCTCAGAAGTCAGCAGCCTTCGGGACAAACCACAAGATACCTGTCCACTAAGGTGGGTGATGTTGACTTTCCGATTTCCACAGCACAGATCACACACTTCTCATTTGCTCTCCACTATTCAATCAAACAAGCCTTTTTTTGTAAATGGCTAATTGATTATGTGCAGTGTTATTTTCATAATTCATACGGACAGTGATCATATAAGCCCTTTGGGTTGCAGAAACAGCTCTGCCGGGCCATTATTTTCATTAGGATGCCTATAGCGTCTGTTTAGAGAAACTGCTTGTTTTATTTTCGGTTTGTCATGAGGGATGAGTGGGCACATGTGAGAACAGTTTGTACTTGTACTAGATGCCAAGAAATCACTAGAGAGAAGAGGAGAGGATGAAAGGATACGAGTGAGATAATGAGAGAAGAGGATAAAGGCCATGGTTCTAATGCATTCTTAAAACAATGTTTTTGGCCTACCATCAATCAAAATGAATTATTCATCAAGAAATCTGTATTTGAAACATGGTGATGAAATTAGTCGCTCATAGGCAGCTGTCCTAACTGAAACAGAGCCTCATATGTGACTCATTTGGAAGAGTCTGTATGGGCAGCAGCTCACACAAAGAGGGACTGACCTTACAATTGATTTCAACAGAGTTGACATTAGCATGTTGCTAATCTAAAATTGAACCTATAATAGGCTATCTATACGTAGATACACTCAGAAAGGTACAAAAGCTGTCACTGGGAAAAGGTACCTTGCACCTAAAGGGAACATATTGGGGAACATATTAGGGGAACTAAATTGGCTCCTACTTCAGAGTAGGAAAAATCAGTGACTTAAGTGTACGCTGATTGGCCAAACACATACGAAACACCGGCTACCCGGCATTTTTTAAAAGCCATGTAAAAATATTTACTCCACGAACATGGAAAATGGCGATAACGGCATTTACCTGTTTTATACTGCAAGTTGTCATAGGAGATTTAGTCCGATTTTCGTGTAAATTGTGTGTTTACATTCCATCTCTGTTATCACGAATCCCACGACACACAACAAAAACAGCTCCGATCACAGTGTCCCCCATTCACTGGTTGTTGATGTTTGTAAATGCCGCAAATAAAGATGTCGCTATTGGTTGCTTCAGAGTCACTGCTGCCGGTGCGAATGCAACCAGGAAAACGGCACGAGGGGGAAATTGGTTCTCTAGGAACCACCACGCTGGCTAGTTCCTAGAACTAAGTTACTATAACTATGCTGCTCAACACTCACGTTAACAAACCGATGGATTTTTTATGGAAAATTCCACAACACTGTGCAACCTATGGTTGTTAGAATCACAGATATCAATGTACTATCTATATGGGTTCCTTGAGGAGCTTTAAAGGGATAGTTAACCCAAAAATGAAAATTTTGTCATTAATTACTCACCCTCATGTTGTTCCAAACCCGTAAGACCTCCGTTCATCTTCGGAACATAAATTAAGATATTTTTGATGGAATCTGAGAGCTCTCTGACCCTCCCATAGACAGCAAGGGTCTTTACACGGTCAAGGCCCATGAAACATAGCAAGGACATTGGTAAAATAATCCATGTGACATCAGGGGTTGATGAACGGATGAACCCGCTTGGTCGTTCCTTTAAAAAACAAAAACTTGAATTTAACAAACATAAAATGTTACAAACATATTTCTAAATTAACTTAATAAAGAAACAAAAATAAATATGACCACTTTGCCATTAAAAACCCAAAACGGAACTATTTTAATAGCTGTGTAATGGGGAAGAGAGAGAGATAAAAAAGACACGGTATCCAGTCGGACTCGGGCCGAGAATTCTCAACAGCTGTTAGACAAGGGCCGGGCCCATGCAGGGCTCTATTCGTTCCCTCGTTTCAATTAAAAGTTCCCCCCAGCTCGGCGGGCCCCCAAACTGCCCGGGCCCATATGCACCTGCATACCCTGCATACACAGACGCTACGCCACTAATTGTGCTGCTTCATATTTTTTGTAGAAACTTGTTCTTTATACAGTTTTAATAATGATTAATTAATTACTTGATAGCATTATTTCTCACTTCATTTTGTACCTTTGAGTTTGTACCAAAAAATATGAAATTGGGTTCTCCACATAGGATGCATGCTTCCTTATATGGCCAAGACAAAGAATATTTCACAGCAGCACAATACCTAGCTTTTGAAACGGTCTTAATGTCTGGAGCTCGTTTATGACGATGCCTCACCCTGAAAGCAGCTCACTGGTTTTTGGAATATAGCTACAGTTATGCCACATGTAATGAGTTTGCTGAAAGTCCGCATCAGGAGGCTCTTTGTGAGTGAACGCATGCTGTCTCAGGCTCAGGGAGTGCTGTGCGTGGGTCACGCAGCTCCGGGCGGCTGGAGGCTGTGATCTCCTGCGGGCGCTACAGAGGGTACTGACCCGCTCAGAACTGGACACACTACTCATCATCCTCGGCTCTCGGTGAGAGTTTGTCTTGCTGTGATGAATCACAGTTTCTTAACTTAACTCGAGCCAGCAGCCATTTCATTTCCTTCACTTTTGCGGCCGCCTTTAGACATATTTGCAGTCCATTTTCCTTAAATAGTTTGAGTGCTATAATTGGTAATGTCTGAGGAGATGGTTTAAAAATGGCAGCCTAGGCCTATTTCCTCTCCCAGCATAATAGAGCGCAACAGAAATCCTTCTCATTTTCTCCATAGAGAAATAGATTTTAAGTGATAGCATGTAGAGCTTTCAAGACAGATCCACCATGAACTGTGAGGTTGTTAAGTGGTTGCTATATTTGTCTGTAAAAGCCCAACAGCACACTCCCATGAAGCATTGCAAATCATGTCTCTTTACACTCTCTTTCAACTGTTTTTTGCTTCAAAACAAAATGTTGTAATGCAGTGGCTTAATTTGGGTCTTGACTCAGAACTCTGTATCATAGTAAGTTCATGAATAGGAAAAGCAATTTGAAACCAAGGAAAATGTGTGGTCAACTGTTTGCACTCTGTGTGAGTTACTAATGCAAAATTATAATTGGAACCTTATATAATGATTATTTGATGACTATTTTTTTTATTTTCAGCCCTGATCAGACAGTAGACATTATATGTGATTTTTTAATTCAAAACCGAACACCTTCTGTTCACTGCAGCAGTCCGGACGCCATTGTGAGTGTCATAGACTGGTGTTTATGTAATACGTAGTGAGATGTTTTTCATTATTGTCACTGATTGATGTGTCCTGTCATAGGAGACTGTGAAGCAAATGGTAGCAGTTTCCGGGGGGAGATATCACCTGTTTTCTGCTGCACTGGTAATCTGTTAAAGAAATCTTGAAATGAAACTGAAGTTGCATACAGTGGTGCCAAAAGGATTTGAACACTTAAGCCTAACCACTTAAAATATATGAATTTGACATTTGAAAGTGACATTTATTTTGTCAAACACTTTTCAAGCAAAGCGTTATTTAAAAAAAAAAAAGGATCATGGATCAAATGTGGACCATGTTCATACTTAAAGAGAAATAAAAAAAATGGTTTCAAAACGATCTTTCATTCATCTTCCAAACACAAATGAAGATATTTTTAATGAAACATGAGAGTTGGACTTAATTACATCTTTAATATGTAATTGCATAAATCTATTGTCTTTGAAATATGGTTAAAGTGTGCTGACGAATGTACTGATAAGTACTGTACTTATTATGGTAACTAAAATATACTTTTAATAATTTCAAACTTGTACATCATGTATTTAATATGTAATTACACTTTTGATTGAGCTGCTTTAATCTCCACCCGCAGCAGATCTACGTCTGTACTGCTGTCTACTACACCCTGTAGAAAAAAAAAGAAAAAAAAAGTGGTCTCAAAACGTATATGAGCACTGAAAAAAATTTCAAAGCAATTATCATCTGCAATCAAAAACTGCAGGAGCTTCAGTAACTTCACTTGTCTTCAACATTTTTGCTCAGTCACTTTTAATCAACAATGTTTTGGTGCTTTTTAAGGCCAATTTACACCGCATAGACAAATGCCAACAAATATGTGCAGTGTGAATTGAAGTGCAGTGGCCCACTCATCGTTTTAATCATACGCTAGATTTAATTATATCGCATGGAATTGATCTTACTGATATAGATATGGTACTTCAAAGTGATGATGTTACTGACCATTTCCTTGTATCGTGTTGTGCGCAAAAGAAAAAAAAAAGACTTTATTCAACAATTCGTCTCCTCCGCGTCACCCTAGCGCCATTTAGGAGAGTATCCACTGAACGTAAATTGCGTATACTGTTTTGTGTCAGCTGTGCGGATACGCTGTTTACGTCGTTTATGCTTTGATTTGAACGAAAATGGTGCTAGGGTGCCTTTAGAGAGAAATGCATCTTTACGGATTACATAATGAAAGAGTTTTTGTTTTCGATTTGAATTATTTCTTTTAAAATAGTATCGGCGGGCCCCCAAACTGCCCGGGCCCATATGCACCTGCATACCCTGCATACACAGACGCTACGCCACTAATTGTGCTGCTTCATATTTTTTGTAGAAACTTGTTCTTTATACAATTTTAATAATGATTAATTAATTACTTGATAGCATTATTTCTCACTTCATTTTGTACCTTTGAGTTTGTACCAAAAAATATGAAATTGGGTTCTCCACAAAGGATGCATGCTTCCTTATATGGCCAAGACAAAGAATATTTCACAGCAGCACAATACCTAGCTTTTGAAACGGTCTTAATGTCTGGAGCTCGTTTATGACGATGCCTCACCCTGAAAGCAGCTCACTGGTTTTTGGAATATAGCTACAGTTATGCCACATGTAATGAGTTTGCTGAAAGTCCGCATCAGGAGGCTCTTTGTGAGTGAACGCATGCTGTCTCAGGCTCAGGGAGTGCTGTGCGTGGGTCACGCAGCTCCGGGCGGCTGGAGGCTGTGATCTCCTGCGGGCGCTACAGAGGGTACTGACCCGCTCAGAACTGGACACACTACTCATCATCCTCGGCTCTCGGTGAGAGTTTGTCTTGCTGTGATGAATCACAGTTTCTTAACTTAACTCGAGCCAGCAGCCATTTCATTTCCTTCACTTTTGCGGCCGCCTTTAGACATATTTGCAGTCCATTTTCCTTAAATAGTTTGAGTGCTATAATTGGTAATGTCTGAGGAGATGGTTTAAAAATGGCAGCCTAGGCCTATTTCCTCTCCCAGCATAATAGAGCGCAACAGAAATCCTTCTCATTTTCTCCATAGAGAAATAGATTTTAAGTGATAGCATGTAGAGCTTTCAAGACAGATCCACCATGAACTGTGAGGTTGTTAAGTGGTTGCTATATTTGTCTGTAAAAGCCCAACAGCACACTCCCATGAAGCATTGCAAATCATGTAATCTAGTCTCTTTACACTCTCTTTCAACTGTTTTTTGCTTCAAAACAAAATGTTGTAATGCAGTGGCTTAATTTGGGTCTTGACTCAGAACTCTGTATCATAGTAAGTTCATGAATAGGAAAAGCAATTTGAAACCAAGGAAAATGTGTGGTCAACTGTTTGCACTCTGTGTGAGTTACTAATGCAAAATTATAATTGGAACCTTATATAATGATTATTTGATGACTATTTTTTTTATTTTCAGCCCTGATCAGACAGTAGACATTATATGTGATTTTTTAATTCAAAACCGAACACCTTCTGTTCACTGCAGCAGTCCGGACGCCATTGTGAGTGTCATAGACTGGTGTTTATGTAATACGTAGTGAGATGTTTTTCATTATTGTCACTGATTGATGTGTCCTGTCATAGGAGACTGTGAAGCAAATGGTAGCAGTTTCCGGGGGGAGATATCACCTGTTTTCTGCTGCACTGGTAATCTGTTAAAGAAATCTTGAAATGAAACTGAAGTTGCATACAGTGGTGCCAAAAGGATTTGAACACTTAAGCCTAACCACTTAAAATATATGAATTTGACATTTGAAAGTGACATTTATTTTGTCAAACACTTTTCAAGCAAAGCGTTATTTAAAAAAAAAAAAGGATCATGGATCAAATGTGGACCATGTTCATACTTAAAGAGAAATAAAAAAAATGGTTTCAAAACGATCTTTCATTCATCTTCCAAACACAAATGAAGATATTTTTAATGAAACATGAGAGTTGGACTTAATTACAATTTAAAGCATTCTATAGATATATTTATCATGTCGGTGAAGCGTTCCTGCTCAAGACCAAGACGACAGAAAGTGCATCCTGTTTGTTTTCCTTATTTTACAAAAGCACAAGGTTTTGTTGATATTGTGAGTGCACACAGACCCTTTGTAGTTCCGAATGATGTATACTCTTACCTTTAGGAGCAAAAATGCCGGCGTATTTTTAAGTTTCCACTGTTATTAAAAAAAAAAAATGCAAGTGATCGCATTGACGCCTTCATGTCATGCAAAGCGCGCTTTAGCTTCCACTCGCCACACAAACGATATAAATCTATTGTCTTTGAAATATGGTTAAAGTGTGCTGACGAATGTACTGATAAGTACTGTACTTATTATGGTAACTAAAATATACTTTTAATAATTTCAAACTTGTACATCATGTATTTAATATGTAATTACACTTTTGATTGAGCTGCTTTAATCTCCACCTGCAGCAGATCTACGTCTGTACTGCTGTCTACTACACCCTGTAGAAAAAAAAAAGAGGAAAAAAAACGTATCTGAACACTGAAAAAAGTGTGATAGAATTGCTAAGAACTTCATTTGGACATCTTTAAAGGCGATTTTCTCAATATTTTGATTTTTTGCACCCTCAGATTCCAGATCTTCAAATAGTTGTATCTCGGCCAAATATTGTCCTATTTTATTCGGCTTTCAACCCTCAGATTCCAGATCTTCAAATAGTTGTATCTCGGCCAAATATAGTCCTATTTTATTCGGCTTTCAAATGATGTAAAAATCTCAATTTCACAAAATTGACCCTTATGACTGGTTTTGTGGTCCAGGGTCACAAATGTACTTTCAACCAAATATATTTTTACATACCACAAATTATCACTCAATCTTTTTGGATTAGTTTTTGGAAATTTTTACATATTTTTAAATCAAATATCCAGATAAATTCAAATCTAAGTTGTGCATATTAAGCACGCTGGAAAAAGTGACCCAATAAGTAGCCTCACAATGATTTTATGTGGTTCTCTGACAGGATTAATACAATTTTGTACACTTTGTTGTCTTATTTATTATAGAACTCTACTAAGTAGCTAACAAGTTATCTAGAAATGTGAAATAGTACATACATAATATGCTAAATGCAAAGCGTTAAACACTTTTCGCAGCAAAACTGTAATAACATGAGCTGTACCAGTCCAAAGCCTAAGCAAATGCTCCACTCTTCTCCACAATGGTAATCCAATGTCATTTAAATGGCTCTATTTATTGCAACATAATTGAACATTAAACACTATCATGTCACTTTTCTCATCTTTCTCAAAAACACATAAAATAATTAATTTCATAATTTTTTACTCTCCTCATTAAGTCCCAAGCAAAGCATGCTGGGAACAATTCTCAAACCAAACTTCGATGACGTCAGTGGGGATATGGTTTTCAAAGAATGCAAAATTGTCATTTGATTTGATGCAAATAGTTTAAATTTCACCAACAAAACTCCACTAAAGGCCAATTCAATTCAATTCAATTCAATTCAAGTTTATTAACCTTTTTCAATTTGATGGGGGCAACAGCTTCTAATGTATTAGAGAAGATAGTGCCCATGTTGCTAGTCATTTCGTCTAGTTCATGTGTACTTATTGGTACACTGAGCAGTTGAGATAAATCAGGCAGGTTATTTGTGAATGTGTCTTTGGTGGCTGGAACAATAGTTCTGCCCGGAGCCATATAGTTAATATCAGTAATATGCAGCATGCACGATACAAGGAAATGGTCAGTAACATCATCACTTTGAAGTACCATATCTATATCAGTAAGATCAATTCCATGTGATATAATTAAATCTAGCGTATGATTAAAACGATGAGTGGGCCACTGCACTTCAATTCACACTGCACATATTTGTTGGCATTTGTCTATGCGGTGTAAATTGGCCTTAAAAAGCACCAAAACATTGTTGATTAAAAGTGACTGAGCAAAAATGTTGAAGACAAGTGAAGTTACTGAAGCTCCTGCAGTTTTTGATTGCAGATGATAATTGCTTTGAAATTTTTTTCAGTGCTCATATACGTTTTGAGACCACTTTTTTTTTCTTTTTTTTTCTACAGGGTGTAGTAGACAGCAGTACAGACATAGATCTGCTGTGGGCGGAGATTAAAGCAGCTCAATCAAAAGTGTAAATACATATTAAATACATGATGTACAAGTTTGAAATTACTTAAAAGTATATTTTAGTTACCATAATAAGTACAGTACTTATCAGTACATTCGTCAGCACACTTTAACCATATTTCAAAGACAATAGATTTATGCAATTACATATTAAAGATGTAATTAAGTCCAACTGGGGTGGGTCAAAAGCACTATTAAGTTCATCTAATTGCATTTAATTGAAATTTAAACTATAATGCATTTTCAGTGTAATTGCAATTAATAAACAGTTAAGTGTCAGAAGATATTGCATTCAGTTCACACTTAAAGGTGCAGTAGGAGATCTTGGAAAATGCTAACTTTAGCCTGATAGCACTGAAAGCGAACGTCCCACCCTCCCTGCAATCGCCGTCCAAAGCCACGACCCCTGAACGCATTTACTCTCACAGACCTGAATACCAGAGACAACATTACTACAATAGGCTACTTCAGCGGTTCAGTACCAGGTACATTTTATAAACCAAAAATTCCATATACCATTCTAAGACCAACTAGAAACCATGTGAAACCAGCTGCAATTGTACAAGAATTGTAAATAATGTTAGCCGTTTTGCTAACCTCCACCTTCAAGAGCACCAGGTTAACACCTACTTCTGAGCAAACTGTGAATCATTAGCTGATACTTTTCGTGTGCATAGTCATTAGCTATTACTAAAATATGGAGCCTGACATGCAGGGAAAAAAATCTTATCCTCATTTGTTCCCTCATTTAGGTAAATTGTGGCCACATTGAACTAATCCGTTACCCTGTTTTAGTTCAATTGTGGCTACAATTTAACTGAATTTAAATGAGGGAGCAAATTAGTATAACTTGGCCACATTTTAGCTAAAATGATGGAACAAATTAGTACGTGGCCACAAAAATAACAAGTCAGGGAGTGATTTCTTAACTTGTGTCGATAATATATATATATATATATATAAATATATATATATATACTGTATATATATATATTTTTTTTT